GTCATCCATTTCTGACAAAATTCGGTTTTTATTATGTTGAAAATTGCTATACATCACTACCCGGGGTATAGATAAGGCGGTCAGAAATGCACTTGAACTACATTAAATCGACGATGAAACGTTTCATCATTTAATGAATTATCAAGAAAAAATACTCTACACCAAGTTTCAATTTTTTACCTTGGTCGGGGAGATAGTCGAAAGGAAAATTTAGATCACCAGATGTTCTTTTCTTTTTCCTGCATAATCACGTGTGAACATTCTGAAGAGAAATATACCTATTAAAAATATTTTCTATGACATAAACAGCGAGGTAATCAGATGAGAGCTTGGAGAATTCTCAAGCGATTAATATAAAAAATAAAAATATAAGATAATATTACGAACACAGAAATTTTTGTTGCTTATCTTTTAATTCTTACAACTCCTTTTTTTCCTTGTTTTTTAATTAAATCGAAGAAACTAAACCGTCCCATGATATTAGTAATAATTTGCTTATTATAAAACATTTCTTTCGTTTTGTTTCGATGAGTTATGTGTCAATCGAGATTTTCGTCCCATCGGATCGCCGACACAGACCACTGTGGATTCGTCGGATTAATTTTAATTTCAACGTTTAATTAGAACGTTCGAATATATCCACGTATTCGAATATTCATTAAATTTAGATCCAAGCACTCGGATACCTGGATACTAAGAACTACAATCAACGTTATACCCACTGTTGTAGAAAGCGACGAACTAATTGCATCGCGTATGATTCCCATACTGGGCGACCGAGACCCGGATAATCAAGACCCCGTTTAATCGGAACTCCAGATAATCGAAGCTCTACTGTATTAACCCCTTCTTCTACGGTATCGTGTTAGTCTCGGGATGAAGAGTTTAAATCGAATTCGACAATAAAATCAAACTATAACGTAATAATATGTAACATTAACAAAGAACGTGCACCCAATGTGGAACGTGAACCCTATTAGGAACCCACGTATTCCGATGGAAAAATAATAACTCCTCTAAAAGCAAAATAAATTCGCGGCAAATCGCTTTTAAATAGTGAAAAACAAGCATGTTCAATGATAAATCATGAAAAAATAACATTTTCCGGCCTATCTATGTTAAGAAATTTGACTATTCATCTCGGACTTCAACAAATTTCACGTTCAACGTTTCAACGAAAATTTTTCAATCAAATATACCCCAAGTGCATTCGTCCTGCGTTTGACGAGTACACACTTCATTTTTTCATTCTATCACGCGTAAAATGAGAGTTTTTTTAAACTAAATTCCACGGTTAACGGGTTAATTCATCAAATCTGCTGGTTAGTTTCATGCAGCTAGTTGTAAGTGTAATATAGTAAAATAAAAAAAAGAAGATATTATGGTGTTCCGTATTACAAGCTGTTCCATGTTAGATGTCGTTACTCTATACGGTTTCAAGCAGTGGCGGCTCGTGTTCAGGCACTGTGGAACTGCAGCACCCCCAATTTCCACTTGATATTATCGATAACATCTAATATAATGAGTCCCTTTTTCTATGATTATTTCTTTATACTTATACAATACATAATCCTTAAGCTTAACCCTTTGCACTCGGAAGTTTCTCACTAGAAATGTTTAACATTTCTTGACGAGGCGGAGACGATATTCCTTGAAACTAACTCGAAGAGAAATCCCAAGTACATTGAGGAATAAAATTATTTTATTCCAATATTTCACGTATCGAGGCATTATGCAAAGTTCAACGTTAAATATCAGATTTTATAGTTTTACGGCGTCAAATCAAATAATGACTGAGAGTCGCCTTCCGAATGCAAAGGGTTAATGTCAGTAGCCATCCCCCAGTTTATGAATAAGATACAAACATTTTAAAACAAAGGCTACAAATTTTGGAGCAGCATCCACATTAATTTTAGCTACGAGCCGCCAGTGGTTTCAAGGGAACCGGGAAACTGAAGGGTTAACCAATTAACTGTGTTTAACGAGTATACACGTCATTTTAAAACTCTTAATGGTGCTAACTTTTTCAACAATGGATTATTTATTTTTTGAGACAAACATGTCATTCTTCTTCGTTTCGCTTTAGTTTTTCGTTAGGATATATTTCAAGTGCATTTGGCCTGCATTTAACAAGTATACACTTCATTATTTGATTTTATTGCGCGCACAATGAGAGATTTTTTCAACTAAATTCCACACTTAACTGGTTAAAATCTAAAACATTCAACGATTTCGCAGGTATAGTGCTGGTGGTGTTCGGGATCCTGGTGTTGGTGCATGGCGCCTCGCTGGGTGGTTCAGGTGCGGGGCTGTGGGCAGGTGTTGGCGCCCTGGTCGCAGGTGCGTTGGGCGTCGTCGCGACGCTCGCCACATCCTCGAGCAAGGCGAACTCGAGCTTTTCGACCGGACACCTCGCCGCGAGCCTGATCGCCCTTGCCCTCTCGAATATGGCCGCCATCACGGCCTTGACTGCCATCGTCAGGGACTCGCAGAGGACACCGGAAGTGACCTTACTCACTGTACCGGTACGTAGTGGCTTTCAGCGGTTCTCTTCCTGCTTCTCTCTCCTTCCCACTCGAGTCCAAATGCATTCGAAGCGACGCACAGAGCGGCCAAACGCATGTTTTCTGGACGAAACTCAATAAGTTGAAAATTTTGAGTGATACAAAAAATGCTTCAGGCAAAAGTTGCAAGGTATAAAGCTAAACTTATGTTGGTTATATTTTTTTTTTACATTATGGAAATGCTATGCGGTTTTTTAAACGTTATATAAATAGAGAAACAGAATTTATTTGCACAAGATTTTTATTTTTCGAATGGAGATTATTTTGTATAGCAGGGACTACTTAGCAACACATTGGTGACCTTCAATTTTCGTTATGTGAATAGTCGAATTTGAGGGTTTTGTTCACAGGCGGCCGCACTGTGCGACGCGCCAGCTGCGTCACAAAGTGGGAGAAAAATGGAAGGAGATTGTTTCAAAAACTGAAAATTTTTATGTAGTTTTATTGATTATGGCCTAATACGTGAGCCACTTGTTGGAAAAATCGATTAACTTTATAAAATAAAACGTAGAGAAAGGAGTATAAATATAAAAAGAAATAAAATAAATAAATAAATAAAGTTATTCATATTCATTTCTACAGGGCTACTTCAATATTGTTGCGTATGAAAAATCAGGAGATGAAACCAACGGTCATTAACTTTTTTATTGCCAACCGATCAATATATTCGTGTTATTTACACTTAAATATTTTTCTACGTTTGAATGCAGTAGAAAGGATATAATTAAATTGTATTCCGCACTCTGTACGTCCGAGGAGAATAAATAGTAGAACTTTGCTTCGGAAAATCAATATTTACTTTTTTGTAAATTTATTCGTGAAACGTACGTTCGTGAAACGTAAAAGAGTTATTTTTGCAGAGTTGAAATGTTGTTGATTTTTCACTCTAGAAATTACATCAGTGTTGTTTAATTTATTTATTTCAACTTCAGTTTCATATATCAGTTTACCAATTCATATCTGTGAACCTTTGGAAAGCAATAAAATTGTATCTATATACGATACGATTATTAATTCTGAGTGATTGCAACAAAAATTTGTAAAACGCGAAGCTAAAATCATGTTTATATTTTGCTGTGTTGTTTCTCCATTTTTTCTAAATAAATTTCTGTCATTACTTCTAAAAAAAGCAGCACTTAACGCGGTTAATACATTGTATAATCCCCATAAAAATTGTAACAACAGATTATTTTCAATTTCTTCAAAAATTTGTTATATAGTTCAAGTGAAACGATTCATTTCCAAAATTATTTCGAACATTCAATACTTTTGAGAGATAAATTGCGAAATGAAATAACCGAAACCAGTTAATTTTCAAAATTGCCTGTTAGTTTTACCGTTAATTGAATGAACCGTATTAATTCGATTTGGTTAGGGCTCACCGGTGATCCCTCTGGCATTCAACGTGTTAACACTGAAACTACCGAGCAGTTAAATTGACTTTTTAAAATTCCTTTACAGAAACTCCAAGAGTGCATCTATCGAAACTTTCATTGATTTACAATTCAGTTTTTGTAATTCTAAATCAATGTCTTCAATAATTTCTCAGAGATACATCTGTTATCTCTTTAATAATTGCAAAAAGGACACATCAGGAATGGAGCATTTTAACCCGTCTGGTAGTCTTACAAGGAGAGGGTCGTGTCATGTCAATCATGTCAATATAAATAATATTACAATAATAAAATACAATTCAGAGATTATAATCCAAAAGAAGAAAAAGAAAAAGGGAGAAAAAGAGAATTCCAAAAGCATGGGGGAGATTCGAACTTACGATTTCTTTTGTTATACTTTTTTTGTTATACTAGGATTCTTCTAATAGTCTTATTACAGTAACATACAAACTTATAACTCATTTTTTTCGAAAATGGGAGGACCATTGTCAAAAAGCTATAACGGTTTTTCATTTCTAGAGATGTATAACACATGCATGTGGTTTCATTCAAAGACAAATTTATATGTCTGGCCCTCTTCTTGTTAGTGTTAAGAACCACTGCTATAGACGTTCCCCGATGCGGTGAGTTCCCAGGTACTTACAGTCTGAATCTCAGAATGCGTCCCGCGGTGCGTTCGCGATAATAAACGAGATTCATGGTTGATGGATATGTTCCCCAATTAGTTGACGAGTACCGGTGACCTCGTTTCGATTCCCATCGTTTTCTCGTCTGTCGATCGACTCGGCAGGTTTCGGCGAGGGCAGACCTGCCGGAACAAGGCCGCTGGAACTGTGTGATCGCCGGAGAAAGTTTCCAATGACAAGGTTAAAACGCGGTCATCCCGAAGCCCTGCAGACTGCCTCGCCTCTGGACCTCTATGGAATGCGACTGTGTCTGGTCAATAGTCCGTTGCGACACTTTCGTGTTTTGATGGAGTTGTCCTTTTTCACCTGTTCGCCGGAGATCAGAGTCCGTGCGATGCTTTTCTCTTCTACTCGTGCGTCCGAGAGTCGACGTTTCGTGGACATTTTTCGGGAACCAGGATGCTCAACTGGATCCACCGAAAAGCTCTGTCGGTTTTTAAATAAAACGAAAATTTACGTTTTCAATACATTTGTTGCATTGGGGGCGGATCACGAATTCTCGTGCCTTTAACATTTATGTAAAACATTTTCTTGTACTCATTCAACAGGAACATACATGGATAAAGGTAGTAATAAAACTGTTGGTCGATTAACTCCACTTTTTGAATTTTCGAAGATTTTATCATTACACCGCCTCATTGGCCCTTAACTATTTCATATAAATTTCATTACGACTGGGCTTGGTATATACCACGAAACAGTAAGAAGTTTTTTGGCCAGGAAAAACTGCATTAATAATAAAAGTTACTCCAAGAATATACTATTTTATGGATGTTACATATTGGCTTGACTGCAGCTGCACCCGTGTTAATCAAATAAAATACACTCTACCACCATGATTTAATTTTGCATTTAAAGGGAAGCTCGAAAAATCATACTACTGTTGCATCACTTTCCCCTACTTTTTGTTTTGCAGAATTAATCGATTGATCCAATGAGTGACTCAATAGAAGTTAAGGAAAAAGATTGTAGTTTTTTCAGCCGGTTGCCTAAGTGTCAAAGTTGACCCTCAAAGCTGCAGAAATTCAAGTGTTTTACGACACTAATTGAAATGGCTATACCGATTCACCTATTTTAAATACATATTCTGATCAAATGTACCTGGAAAACCTTTTAATCCTTAGCACTCCAGATGGTATTGTAATCTATCAGCAACTGCAACTAATTTTTATAATATCTCTAGTGAAAATGAAAAATGCTATAACATTCCTTCGATCTTTTATTTTCCTTCTCAGTACAAAATTTGGATGTGTGGAAAATCTAATAATTTTAGGGTAGTTTCTTTGATTCATTAAAACATTCAATGTTATAACTGGTGCAATATTGGAGCCTACATAGTTCAAAGGGTTACAATAAATAATTAACATCGCAGGGTGACAATAGCGATATGGACCAGGTGGAAGGAGGCTGGGCGGGTCTCCTAGCTAGCATAGGCCTGCTGGTGTCCAGCTTAGCCGAGCTGCTGGTCTCTGGCTACAGTTGCCTGATCCTGACCCCCAAACTTTGCGGTTGCCTAAGGACGAACAATAACGAAGAACTGTTCTGCGACGGCCGGCTGAAGACCCGCAACATGGTGCACCAGTGGGTCACGGCTCAGAGCCACGTGCCGAAAAGCCAGCCCATCTACGTGGTGCAGCCGATGCTGCCGATGCACCCGATGATCCAGGTGAGTCCTGATCCTCCCCCACCACCCCTTTGTTCGCTGGCCACCCGTGCACTTGACCCATGTTGGGCGGGAGGTAGCGAAAGGTCAGTGACACGCGAGCTAGAAAGTTCAAAGAGAAACTCTTCGGTGCTCCGGGCGATCTCTGTACCTACATTTTGAAGATGCACGAGCTCGGTGCAGACGGCTCTCCGTCTCGCGAGCACAAACTTGTTCACCGAATTCCTTTTGACTTGCACCTCGTCGTACCCTACTGTCCGCTGGCGGGAACTGTGCGATCGAAGGGTTCATTCTTCGCTGGTGGAGGTCTTTTAATCTTTCGCGCTCGCGGAGCTGTTTAGATCACTTCTCAACTAGTTGGATACAGTAGAATCTCGACTATGTGATTTAATTGGGCGAGCAATGGTTCAGATTAATGGAAGTTCGAGAAAAAATTCTTTGAAGTATCTTTGCAAGATTCGGAATTGGTTGATTAAGCAGAATTTAGGCTTTTATTTATACATTTCGGGAAATAACTTCTTTTTGAAATAGCCTCTATAATAGGAATACTGTAGTTGAATATTTGATAATGGTATCGTTTACATTTATGAATAATAATAAATAATCCTGCTTATACCCACGTTTACGACTACAATAATTTAGGTGCACGTACGATTTAATGGATAATTATGAGTGAGACAATCGTGTTACGTAATAAACTTTAAGACTTACAAACTGGACAATCGCATTGCGTGACTGTGCACGCGTGGCTGAGTTTTAAGGACAAAATACGACCCCTGGGTTACGTGTTCGCAATTGGGATAACAAATATCAGACATCCCAACGAATATTACGCGCAGAATAGTTTCAACTTTTTGCTTGTAGAAATTTATGAATATTGAGTGGAGTCTGGTACGTAAAGATAGTAGGGTAATTCCGAGGGAGACGGCCATATTTTCTTTGAACCGCATTTAAATGAAAACTAAAAGAACTAGAACGCCAGATTTGATTTCTATATAAACTTTAATTACTTTCTTACAAAATAATCAACAAGAATTATGATTACGAATTAAGAGAGATCAGCTGTAATAAAAATTATATCAATTATTTATACAAGACGATCATACTGTGTGAAAGAAAAATGAATTTAAATCTTAAGGAAACATTTAATTTTATTAGATATTAAAGAACATTGTTATTGATCTCTTGCCCTACAGTATCGTGTCAAACTCGCGGTGAAGATTCCAAATAGAATTTAACAAATATAAGTATTATTCAATTTGTTTGCATGCAAATTACATATTATTCCTCTGTTATCAATGATTATACTTTAGAGCATACGTTGACATACAATAAGACTGAAATTTTCTTTTATTTTCCATAAATTATTAATAAGAAAGTAGTTACATCGAACACAGTTCAGAAAGGTATCATAAGACAAGGAGTTAAAGCAACACAAACAGGGGAATCGATGAAACGTCTATATAAAGAGTGAAAGTATAAACAGCACACTAAATGGTATCCCCTATAAAGTGTTTTAACTCTTTACGCAACTTCCTTTACATTTAATGACTTAGAATAATCTTTTCTGTGAAGATTTGTAGAATATTTTAAATGCTGTTTTTTCTTTTAATTACCTGTATTCGTGTTAAATATCTACATAGGTTTTATTAATTCTCAATGAATGTCATTTTGATTCAGCAATAATGCTTACCGTATTTATGTATTTTTTTATTTGTTAATTTATTTATGCTAATAATAGACACTCATGTAACCACAGTATATGCAATTAGAATTAATCATGAAGGTTAATATATAAGTGCCTTATAAAACTCGCCTACAATGAAAATTTTATTATGGGTCAAAATGATCATCCGTCTTCTGAGAGTTGATTCATTGACATAGGTACTTAAACTGTCTACCATTATGATATATTGCTCTGTTAAGACTTCTAGGTAGGACTTTACCTCTTCATCTGAGTAATTGTTCATTAAAACATACGGATATAATGTACAATATATATTTACTCCCAAATATCTACGTATACTCGTATATATATATATATATCCCTGACAATTTTCTATTTTTACGTACATATGCGTAAGTTCAATTTCATAACTGTACATATTAACGGTTCGAGTTCTAAGACTTTTAAAACAAACCTTGTCGAAGAGACTCAAAGGACGCGATAGCTCTTGGCTTAGCTTAGGTAGACAAATACTGAATAACAACGTAACGCTTTTTTTATTCAATCAAAATCAGCGAAAATATTGCACACCAGAAACAAAATACATTACTTATATAGTTTACATAAAAAAAGTAAACAATGATACGGACAAACACCAATGAAATTCAAATGCATCGTCAATTATCCAAAGCGGTCAAATCTAGTGGGTCTGTTCGATGTGGAATTTAAAATGCTCGATACTAAAATGCAAAAAATGCAAAAGGTTAAAGACTATAATTTCTGAATAATAATGTACCTTTCAATTGATACAGCCTCCTTATGGAATGCCAACACCTGCCGCAAAGTTTCCTGGAGGATTCGTACCTGCTAGGCCCATGCCAATACCTGCTCCGTCTTATGGTACCATTCCTATACTTCCCCCCCACATGCCATATGCTGGACGACCCCCATCTCAAATGGTAGGTTCCATCATCTTCGTGTTTACCTTATTATGTAGTGACATTATCTATAATTACAACTGTGACACGTTGATTATACCGGCACAGTACACAGCATAACAAATTTCATTTATTAGGGTTTACTTTCTTATCAACTATTGACAATAAATTGCGACCCAATTCTTTGTAGTAAATAAGTTATGAAAATATGTGAAAAATAACATTCTATTGATTTCCAGAAAAAAAATATTAAAATTTCTTGAAAACTCAATGAAATTGGAAGACGCAATTTTCTTAATATATTTAAACATTATATTACTAATCTTAAATATATATTTAACAAAAGCTATTGAAAACATTATCATGTTTCAGATGAGACTGAAACAAAAACGCCACACAGGTATGGAACATGAGAGTACAACAGAGAGGAAAAGGCAAGTCGAAGGTAAAACGGACTCCCAGAAAAGGATGTCTTCAATAGGAGAAGATCAAGTAGATCTAGCGCAAACATACACTGGACTGGACAAGAAAATTTCAGAAGAGTTCATCTCAATTGCCATGGATCCTGAAAGAAAGTCAAAAGCTTCAAGCAGTCATGGCAGTGATATTGGCACCTCGAAAACCTGTTGAGGACACCACGTAATACTCCTCGGAAGGTGTATCATGCTACACCCCACTACTTAATCTGTTTTCTCGTACACGTTTTTAGAATTGCAGGGAAGAGTTTTTAACCATCTATCGTTGAACGTTTCACATTTGTCTTGTTTTGGTTTTTACTATACTGAAAGATTTTGCTCAACGCTTGATTTTTTCAGATCCTGGATATAATCAAGATTATATTTACTTATTCGTTATAAATGTACATTAATTAATTACTGTTACAGATTTTAGTTAGTTCGCTGTCAACCTTTGACTATGTGAATAATTAAAAAATAGTGGCCTAGACAAAGAACGATACACTTTGTCTCGTCTTTAATTATAGAAAAATGGCTATGTACAATGTGTATAATGACAAATTAATATTTTACAAATTAGTGAATTTATTTATTTTCTATGGTACGCAGTACCGATTGTTATTGAATAAATGTATATTGTTTGTTGAAACTTCGCCAACATGTACCCGTGAAAATAAGATTCAGGCTTTAAAGGATTAATATAATACATATTTATGTATATTTATTACATAATAATTCCAAAGGACAACTGTAGGCGTAATGATTCTCTAATAATGTAATGTAAGATAAAATATAAATCAAGTAATCTGCAAGAGTTCCAAAAACCCTTTTATAAACTTAATGAAAAACTGAATATTGTAACTCATTGCCTAAGAATTTTAAAGTCAACTTGTTACTGAATGTACTGCCAAAGCTGTTCAAGTATTTTCACAATACACATGTATGATTATGTGGTTCATGTATAAAATAAAATTCTAATAAAATACTATGGAAATATTCCATACTGTTTAAAACAGGCATTTAAACTATGTGCATCTTCGGAGATAAAAATGATGTGAGTAAAAACTGTTTAATGTTGACTTATTTACATTATCTCCAAATATTAAACATTTTTTCTCGATTCATTTCTTGAACATTATTGACATTACTCTCACAGTCTTTTGTATTATTAAATGGAACAAAGAATGTAACGTTAATGTTAAAATGGAAAATCTTTTAAGTCGTTTGTAATTATTGCTTTCTTCTATTATTTAGCTTTAAAGTGTTACGTGTAATGTCAATTTATCATACTCATTACAGTGTACAGTGTAACATTTTATAATACCCGACCTCGTAGAGAAATTATTCATGGCTCCACGCAGACTATATCGTGTACATGTATATCGTTTACTGTTATAAATAAATAAATTTTTATGATAAATGCTGTTACAAATTGTATTACAATAACTACAGATAATAGTACGCAGGGTGTAACATCTATCTTTCTCTGCTTAATATTTTATTAATGAAATATACTATTATACCTGAATGTACATGTTATATATTACATAATTATATACAATAATATGTAAAAATATCTGTCATTTACGATTAGTAATAACTCTTATTCGCTATCAAAGCCACCCCCAGTTTGATAACAAAATATATATAAAAATACATGTAAAACCATCACAATAATTGGAATTCAATTTCTAATACATTAGTATTAAAATTAAGTAATCACTGCTTAAATTTTCTTTTTTTTTAAACACTGCAAAGCTAATCTTTGAAGCAGTTTTCATTTTATGTAAAGCGTGCACAAAAGTTTTATTAAAAATTATCTATCTTTTTCTTCAGTATTGAGTACAAACCACAATTGTATATACTACCACCATAGCCGTTATTCGTGTAGGTAAGGAATTCTTAAATCTGCTAAGATATCTTTACATTCACTATATGGCCAACTTACAATTTTTTTTCCTAGGCGTAAAAATATTTTTCCAAAATGTTATCATATAGATAATATTAAGTACTTAGTGCATAGTTTCTCTTAGGGGCTCTGTTCAGCTGTACATACATTACTTAAATAGTTACTATCACTAATATACGATTCATGAATTGTATACAAATTACTTTAACAGCACCTGTATTGAGTAACATGCCTAGATAATACAAATACATTACAATACATTTACAATACCTAACCAAGACGAAAACTCGTGTGTTGTAGAATAACTAAATGATATTGCAAACATTTTGTAATCTAATAGTTTCAGATAAAATTAATTCCACTATCCTAAAGGCACATTTCAAACGCAACAGCGCCACTGCATAAATTGTGTTAATGTTCTTTTTAGATAGTATTAATTAATTACTCTTCTAAAGTACCATTAGTAAATACTGTGAAATAATGAGCGAGTTCTTCTTTCAAATTATACATTCTAAGGTTTGCCATTGCTAATTACATCAGCAGTAGAGTATGTATATAATTTATATTGACATTTCGATCTCTACATATAACTAAAAGTTGAATGTATGTACAACTAGAATGTACTATTCTACTTTTTTTATCACGTTTCATACATTTCTTTCACTGTTTGTTCAGTTCTTCAAACTTGAAAACTATAATTTTATCAAATCTATACATTATTAAAGTATGGATATCTATGCAAATGTACTGTTTAATCAATCGCTATAAAAAGACTGGAATCAAACAGAAAATTTTTCATTTTGTTGCTGAGTTTTCTAGGCTTTAAATAAAATAAAAACCTCACAAAACTATATTTTGTTACAGTGTTAAGAAGTTTGCTTTTTACTGTATTAAATTATATGTTGTAGTGTATAAAATCTGAAATTTGCGTATTATTGGCAAATGGCACATGTGCTAGTCAACTAAATTGCTTCTCTCTGGGCATTTAACGTTAACATTAATCTAATAAATAACGACATAGTTCCACAGAAATTCATTGTTGCATTTATGTTGTTATGTTACTAATAAAAGAAAGTAATGTACTGAATGCCTAAGTATATTTTTGGAAGACTATAGTTTAAATATTATAATTAGACTGCAGATATTATGTGTCCATGGTTTTAATCATTCTTGAAAATGTAGTATAATAAAATATTTAATAAAGGTTAGTAAAGTATAATAATAAAACAAACCAATCTTCATTTCCATATTTGTAAATTAATTTATAAAAATCAATATTTATGAGTAGATATCTGCATTCTAATTACAATACTAAATTATTAACACGTTCACGGTCCTATGATCTATGCACGAATTATAATAATTTTAAAGGAAAATTTCTAAATCGCATATGCTTGAGAATAACAATTGTTACATATATAATGAACCTGGAAGCTATCTTAAAATTAGTAAAATAATATTGTGTAGTACTTCAAAAAGGTTATTTATTATAGCTCTCAAAAGTGTCACTTACTTCTGTAAGTTTGAGATTAAGGGTCGGACAGTGAACGTATTAAATTCACAAATTAGCAGAGAGTTCTTATAAGAACAATATAGAAGGCACTTGCAACAGTTTCAATTTCATATAGTTCTCAATTTTGATAAACATGAAAGCAAGATATTCATCGTTTATAAGGTTTAACAATAAGGTTCTGCCAAAAATGAATTTTTATAAAAAAAATAGACTGCAACGTAAAAAACCCGGCGCAAATTAAACTTGATAAAAAATGTAGAACATACTTTTAACTAACATTCGATATGTCTATATCGATTGTTTCTTCCTTTAAACGCTTATCTTCTTTGACAATTGCTTGTCGTTTACCTCCTATTTTACGTTTTCCTCTGTTAAGTACACCATTTTCATCATCCATCATTCGTAAAATTTGTGTTTGATCGGAACTCTCTATTGGAGCTATCGATATATCCCGAACCGCACGAAATTTACCACAATTGTTGAGATGCTCGTTTTCTAATCGGAAGAAATTCCAGACAAATCTCCTAATTATGCAAAAAAAAAGACAATTAAAGTGACAATGGAACATTTATCTTATAAACATTATCAATTCTAATAAAAATAACTACTACTGCTTAAAAAAGAACTATTTTTACTGTATTCCTTACGAGAAATAACTAATTACTTAAATACATAATAAACACTGTTATATTGTAACCAGTTACAATAAACTAGACATAAGTTACATCAATCATATTGAACTTTTTGTAAGTACTTATTGTGTGCACAAAATGGAATGTAATATAGAATTCTTTTCATTATATAATTTAAAAGAACAGTAAAATATAGATACTCTATCCCCTATCAATTATTCAAAGGACAGGATATAATAAAGGATAGAATATGAGAAATAAGATGAATGAGATCTCACCTAAAAACTTCAAGAGGCGCGACTACGGATGTCATTAAATCACTAGAAACGTATTTGCACTCGACAAGAACGAAACTAGCGATCCATGCAAATCTTAGAATGAAATCTTCAATTATAGCAAAATAATAGAATCCCTGGAAAGAATCGATTACAATAAATATTGTATTAACAAGAGTAGGAATAGAAAGATACTACATACCGCTGCTGAATATACAACTTCTTCGCGTAAAAATTTATTTTCACCAGCATTGCTATCTAATAGGCCCCAGTCCATCTTTAAGTCCCATGTTAAGGAATATATGGAATTGACGCAACAACTTATCACCCATAGCCACAACCATGGATTTTCCCAACGAGTCCCATACTCCACTGAAATTAGAATTTTTAATTATTCCTACTTTCCTTTATTAGTACTTATCAACAGATTAAAGTTTATTATAATACATAACCAAACTGTGAATTTTACACATTAATAGCTTATACTGTCTTTATTATCGTTAGTATTTATATCTTACTTTTAGTCTAATAAATTCTAAACTAATAATTCCAAAAATTCATACAAATTGCTAATTTTCCGTTCACCGTCAAGAAAATATCCCTTCAAAGTGCTATTATTTTTATACTTATTTTCATCTTACTAAGTTTCTTAAAAAAAAATAAATTTTGATTTTGCATAAATATATGTAATTTACTCATAATAGTAAGTTTAATGTTTATTATTACTTACCAGCGTGATAAACACACATAGTATTGGATAACACTACCAGGAATGTCGTCGAATATTTTCCAGCATTCGCCAAATGAGGAAACGCTTCTTTAGAATCACGATATCGTCGAACGCATTGTGCGAAACGGAACCACGCAGGTAAACAATTCACTATAGGTCTAACTATTAAAGAACCAGACATGCATTGGGTTGAATCACCAGCTTCTAACCAATTTCCATTAGTGATATAAAAACACGTTAGAAAATGGAAATCCAATAATGCAGTGGCCATACTATTCAATTGGTCTGCCAACCAAAAGTCAGCAAAGTTTACATATGCAAATGGTGATATGAAAACTCGGCCCTAAAAACAAAAAATAAAAATTCTTTAAATTTCTGTATTAAATTTGTGTATTTTACTTCAAATTAATGATACCTACCATAATTTTTAACAACCAAAATCTTGCTTCATGGCGAAACATTTTTAAAGGATTTAGAAGAAATGCTAACATAATACAGACTAATGCTAATGGATTTACATATGGTGGAATGCTTAAGCTTGCACTGTACAGGAAACTTAATAAACTGAGAGTCCATATAACTCCTAATACAGCAGCTAATTCCATGAGGTGTTGTTCGGATAAGTGATTTCGTGGATCCAATTCAAATATTAATACATGATTTACACCAGATGATCGCCAACCATAAACATTCACACCAATAAGAAATAAAAACTGTATGATGAGTAAAGGTCCACGATACAATCTAAATGCAATTTTTAAATTTTCCCCACCATCATGAAATATTGCTAAAAAATACAAAAACAAGAATATAAAAACATTATAATAATTCATACTAATATAGTCTTAATAAAGTTTATCATATTACCTGAGAGTACAACTGCTACAAATAAGACAATGAAACTACCAGAAAACAATCCAACTTTAAAAGTGGTCCAAGGACTCTGATGTTCGCCTAGAGGTGGTACACGCAGTCTTTTCATAGCACGTTGCCTATCTCCACCTTCTAAATCGTTTGTAACTGTAGCTTCTGTTTCTTGAATTAATTTGTCTATATCCTTTGATGTATAAAAGTGTGCAATTTCCACACATTCTACCCTCCATTTTGATCCACTATCTACTGATAGTAACTGAAAGTAGGAATAAAATTTATATACTTGTACATAATAAGGGTAAAAATCTTAAAAAAAAGTAATATTCTTTCCTTATTGTTTCATAACTGTTTAAGCGAATTTACAATCATGAGGAATAGGAAGAAGTTAAATGCAAATGTATGGAAAAGTTAATGAACAGATTTCTCTTTCTATTTACCTTATCGTGCTTTTTGAGAATTTTCCGGAATCCAGTGTAATTAAGATTCTGATAGTTTTGAAGAAGTATTAAGGACAAATAAAATTCTGAGAAAGCAAGTTTTAATTCCCTAAGCTTTCTTGTTGGTAAAGGTGGCTTAACATTTACTTTCCCTTTATTTTTCCCTCCGCCTTGTTGCAGTTCTAATGCTGTTTTCAACTCACTATGAAGAGCAGCATATTTACGCGTTGCTTCTGCCAACTTCTCTATATAAAACATATATTTATTAAATGATTGCAAATGTTTATACATTTATAACACAAATGAACACACGAACCATGGTACAATAAAAGCGTTAATAAAAAATACTAAAAGTTTTATATTATTTTTAGTCTAATAACATCCTTAATAGAGAAACTACATCCCTGTTTCATTTTTCTTCTTAAAAGTTTCCCTGTAAAAATGTGAATTTGCATAAAGGTTCATGGTTTACTTATTGATAATTGTATTTTTTATAGTTCATATAAATTCATATACAAAAAATTAAAATAACATGTCATAATTACAATTCACACTGAAAAATATCAGTTTTTATAAAGTATGCTCACCTGAATAGAAAGTGTTGATCTTCTTCAGTTCACGATCGCAAAATGTGAAAAATACTTCATCAAAAGAGGCAAAATGTCGAGATATTACTTCAGGCTCGACACTCTCAGAAGATGGTGCTTCTTCTACAGCAGTATAAAGCATCGCTTTCATCTCCTATTAATTTGCAAAGTTATTATTAATCTTATGAAAACAATAATATAAAAATTTTAGTATATTCGGATAGACATATACTTTACCTCATAACTAATATATTGTTTACGCCACTCTGGCGTAATATGAGCAGACAAATGTTCAGCAAACTTCATTTTTCACTAAACCTTATTGTAATTTATAACAGTACCAAATTTTGTTTCTTTGTTCTGAAAGTAACAGAGTTTTAAGATTTAAAAAAAAATGTCATATTGTTAACAAATTATAAGAATAATATACATTTCTGTTTTAAACATATATATACATATATAATTATTTCATACCAATACAATAAATTTATTATTACTAGATTCTGAAACTTTATGCAAATTTATATTTTTATAAACAAATTTAAAATAAATGTTACATAAAAATTAATAATTTCATTATTAACAGTTCCAATAAATGCAAAATAATAGAGGAATATTCGTAGAGTTTACCAGTTACTTGTTCATCGTAGAAATGAAGTGATATAGTACAGTTGCATAAAATCTGCTAATTATAAGGAGTTTCACGTCAAAACATAATAAAGATCTATTGAAAAAGTAAGTTCAATGAAAATATGAAAGTAAACTGGATAAAAAATAATAAAATGAATTCTTGACAAACAAATCTAACGTTTAGTTGTGTTTTCTCATTTACCTTTAATGAATTAAACCATAAAAGAGGTTACACTGAATGTATATAACGTGCTTTGTCGTCAGCAGTAATTCAATATTTTCTCCATTCGTCCATGTCGAATTAAGAATACACAATTTGAAATATAAATATGTATTTATTTTTAGTACTTATACATATATCACAGACTATTAAATTTTCTATTGAATATACAGTTATTATTTCCAATCACTGATACGAAACAGACAAATCGAATAACTTGTTTTCTGTTAGCTAATGTATGACTGAAGATTTCTTCCATCTCTTGCTATATAAGCGCGGAGGACAATACAATTAAATTGCTCGTTACACACATCTGTTTGCGATAGATAAAATACTCGAGTACGTTACAACAGATTTATATGCCTATTTGCCCGCTCCCCTTAATCTTTCCTATGCTTCGAATTCGTTTTAATCGTTAACATAGAAAAGATAAACATTCTTAGCGTTTCACAATTACTGTTTTAATATTTAATATTATTTCTGAACATATATATTAATTGGAAAATATATATTGTTAGAAATGATTAATATTGTGCTGTATGTAAGATATCTTATTAGAACTTTCTATTTACAATTAATTTATATACAAGTTATATAGATAGTGCAGCCTGATATTTAAGATATCTATGATTACTATCTTTATACAGGGCGATATATATAAAACAGAGCATTTTTTCGAGATTTGAAGGTTATCGTTACTTTTTAAGACGGAACACTACATTTTTTGTTGCATATTCTTGTAAGGATTAAAAACACTAATTTAATGACCTTACAACCATACTGTTTCCATCATGCAATTTCGAGAACAACATATAAGAAAGGATGTGAGTAGACAATTTTTGAACAATTTAGAATAACCTTCGCCCTTAAGATTTGTATTAGTTTTAATAAATATATTATAATTATATATATATGTAACTATTACTTTCAAGAATAATTAACTTATCATTGTAATAGAATAACATTTTCAATAAAACACTGATTTAAACGATTACATTATACTTCAATTGGAAATTATAACATGTTCAACAATTTTTTTAAATTGTTTACCTACGATGTACGTGTGCCTGTATAGGCATATGGACAATTAAATTTCGGTTTTTAATAATCGTCTTACAATGGGACTTATAAAAACAAATAAGCCAAAACTTGAAAACATTATTGCATGAGAAAGTAAATAAACATAAGTTTTCTTTAAATTATATAGTTTAGTTTGCACCGAATGTCTGTGAACGGCTACGTGAAGTACAGTAAAATCCTGTTTAATGCAGTTCCGTTTAACGTCGTTTCGATATAAAAAATGGGTATATCTTTTTAATCACTGTTTCGTTTCATCTATATTTATTATTTTACGTGTTAAGAGGACCTCATTTAAGGGAAGAATTCCGTGTAACAGTGGTAAAAATAAGCAATTTTTATAATATAGAATTAAACTTTTTTGCGTTATTAAGGGAAGGTTTTAAAGTACTAAAACAATCTTTTTACATTGCATTATTGTTATTGTTAACAAAGTACATATTGTGCAAATCCTCTTAGGCGATGTAATCGGTTGCCGATGTTGTTGGTGAGCTGTGCAACGTCTATTGTAGTCATTGGACTAGAAAAAATCAGGTATATTCTAAAATTTAGATAATTTGTGTTAGGATTGAACCTATATCGAAAGAAAAGCATGGAAAGTAAAAAGGTTATGGCGTTAGAAAGAAAAATTTACTTTTTACGAACAAATTGCTACTCAACAAATACCACTGCTGTATCTATATCCACGCATACTCTAATATCCACATTAATCGAAATTAATCATATAAAATATGACTACACCGAATAATATAATAGAGTATGAATAAAAATTTTATTTTCACGGTAACGTCAAAACTTTAAAACCAAAATCAAAAATATTTGATTAAATAAAGAATATTCAATAAGTAGATTAAATCAAGAAAACTAGGGAACGTAAAGAAACAAAAAATCAGTAATAAAAGAATTATATTACATAAATAGTTGCAGAATATTACATTAGATATTTACTCGCTTATTATTATACAAACGAAAGTTTATTTGATATTTATAATTGCCGGCAGTCGATGATCAAACATTAATGAGATTAAACATGATAATGGCGAACATGAAACTGTTTAAAATTCTGCTCTTATCGACATTATTACTAGCACAATATAATATTTGCAATAAAAAAATATAAAATAGTACAGAATTAAGTCGTTTATTGAAAAATGTTTAACCTTTCAAAATAAGTTCGTTGCTCACAAAATGGTCCCTGGGACGGCTTAGAGGCACGAGGGGACTTTCGCTACATGTTTTGTTTATAATTTTGATTAATTACATTCAATCGCGTTGACTATCTAAGATATCGGCAATAAGAAATCTCATAAAAATACAAATTCTGCGCGTCAATATGAATTAGTGACTACTAAATAAAAAGCGCGTGAATGCGATAAGTTGTATTGAAGTCACCGACAAGAGTACTGACCGACGATACGTCACCGAATCTACTGTTTTGGTGATACCAATATTGATCAATAATAAATTTGAAAAACATACGTAAACACACATTTACCAGGATATATTTACGTATTGTCTCCGGTGTTCAACGGTATCAAGTATTATAAATATAAATATCACGACGGTTTAATGGCACAAGTGTCACCGACGCTGGATTTCTTATCGGTGGTTACAGTGCTGGCAAACCTGCGTCGGCGATTTACATGTAATCTCGATAAAGCTTAAAACTAAACGGTGACTCTATGATAGCTGAGCTTAAGTTAATTCGATTCGCACACGTCACGTGTTTATAGATACAAAATTATGATACAATACATACGATAAATCGGTAGTTCTGGAACGGAATGACTCAAGAATGAAGGAGCAACATGGCTACCAAGGTTTCGCGTCAACGATACATTTCGCTTTCCAAAAAATTAATTCCATACAAGAAACAGCATCTTCTTTGCTATCGTGTCCGCTGGCATCGTTCTGAATGGTTTTCCTCAGAAATTCAGCACAAATATTCTTCAGAGCTCTCTTATTCGGGTAACCCTGCCTATGCGGAAAAATGACAGTCGTGTCGATCACTGTGTCGTGCAGTAACTGTAAAGATCTTAGATCGTTCTCGAGTCCGTGACCGACCAATATTGTTTTCTCTGAAAACATAGTGAGCATAGTCTTTTGAACATCTGCTAACGTCGTTGTCACGTTTCTCATGTCTTCTTCCGTAATTCCGGAATATCTTGTGTTATAATCAAGTATTGGACTCTCCGGTCGAACCAATGTTTGGTACACTACACAGCCATTTTCGTTTACGACCGTTACACTAGTCACTTTTAAACCTCGCGTCGTGTAACTCATTTCACAATCGAGCGCGTAAATCCCTTGTTCCTCGGCAGGTGTGTCTTTTGGCAAGGTTTTCACGTAGCCACGAAGATTCTCATAGTCGGTGTATTCCCAAACGTGCGTTACCGCATAGGTACAACCGACAGCTAGCCCCCTACGCCGACAACAACTATATTCGTCATCCGATCTGTACTTTTTACCCCAGTGGTATATACACTTTTCCGGTCGCAAAGCGAATCCTTGCTCGTCTATTGCGTATCTCTTGCCGCATCGGTTGCAGATTCTTTCGTTAGGCATTTCGCTCAGGGGAAAATGATTCCGTGAGTTTATTACGTATATTTTCGCATGTCCCTCCTCGCCGTCTGGATGTGGTCGAGGAAATCCATTCATTCGAAGCTGATGTTCACTCAGTATACATTTTTTTAAGATATTATACAGATTGCTTCCCCGGAGTTCGGTAACGGATTGATTCGTACCAGAAATAATCCGGGAACCTTCTGAAGATGTCATACTGCTTCCTGTTGTTGTCGCACTTGCGTTATTTTCCGTAGATAATTTTAATCAACCTCGCCTATTAGCGTATAGGTTTCAAGCATACAAACACTTTTATAGTCGGCTAATGCTTTGTACCTTTCGTAGCAAACATTTGCTTCTAAGGCTGCGGTTACACTGGATGCGTGTTCAAACGTACTGTTCTGACGAATTTGGTATGTAGAAACAAACAAATATATATACAAAATTCTGAGAGTGTATACATACATGACGAACTTGAGCTATTGCGGATATGGTCACATTGGATACGCAGTCAGCACGAAAGAAAACAAAATATTGGGAAGAAAAGCCGATGTAAGTTTTAAGAATACATATTTATTTCACGCAGCTTAACGAAAAAATAATAATAATGACATTTCAGAAAACAAAAGTAAATTTTAGTCGATGTCACTAAACTTAGATCGCGTAAATTGATATCGATTCAGGTCGTATTAGGTCGGGAAACCGCTCATAGAACATGAGCTACGCGCAGTCCACTTTTCACAGTTTCCAGAGGCGTCTTCGAGTTGTTATTTTTATATTCGTCAATTTTTCCGTATTTTTCGTTATCTCTTTTTCTCTTGATACATCACGTCTTTCCTTTGCTGTAGTTGTTACTTCTTCATTAGCAAGAACTTTCTAAACTGCAAGAATCGTATCGTAACCATACTACTGTAGGTTTTGGTATTTGAATTCATTATAAACTCGAATGATTGTCTGACGTCTCCGTTCTCTCTGTCATAATCACGGCATCTTCTCGTTTCGAGCGCTTGAAGTGACAGTAAGATCTATTGCAAGATTCGCTTCCATAAAACGAACTTCATTTTACTTTGTATTCTCAATCCTTTTATTCTTCGAATAAAAATCATCAAGTACTATAACATCGATCTCTTAAATAAACTGAAGCTAATTCAAAAAAGTTTTTAGAATTAAAGCATTATTGCTTTGTACGCGAAAATAAAATCTTTGCAATCGTTATTCGAAAGAAATTTGTGACACGTCCATTTTTAACTGAAGCAGTACAGTGAACGTTGGATAATTGCAACACTCAACGGGACCGGAAGGCTGTAATTATGAAGGGATGGAATCGAATCCACCCCAAGGAACAAAGATTTTAGCATGGCGGACGTAGAGAAGGATAATACGAGCGAAGGGAAACGAAAAACTGATAGTCAAAGCGTTGGGCAACATTAACCCTTTGCGAACGAATGTCGACATTTCGTCGAGATGAAACGTTCATATTTGGAAGACTAAGTCGTAGGCAAATGATTTAATTACTCGAACAGCAAGAGATTAACATATAGTTTCTGTTCAATTAATATATAATTTAGCTTTATCTGTTGAAAATTTTGTACATTTCGAAGAATCTTCGTCCGCAAAGGGTTAAAAGCTCGTGATGAGTTTGAGACCTTTAACTTAAAAGTCAAACTTTTTTATTTTTCACTTTTGATGAATGCAACTTTTACCACCATCTTTGTTGTGTTTTTCTTATTAAAATGACATCAAACACGATAGAATTACGATCATAATTGTTTGTATAATAAACGATCGAAATTGCGGACATAGAAAAGGACTGCGAATAAAAAGGAGACGTTAAAATCGCCGAGATGCCCCATATTACAATTGCCCAGTGTTCACTGTAATTCGTTCGTCCCCTTTCTCGTAATTCCTAACTTTTCACTTTAAGAGGAAATCGACCCTTCTGCTCGAATAGGCCCTTCTATGCAATTATAAATCGCGAACAACAGAAGCTAGGAAAAAATGGTTGAAAAATGAAAATTATACATTTCTTTGAAACCTATAAAGGTATATAACAAAAATTTTGAAAATTTATACGAATGATTTTTTATAAAATTGCAACTGAGAAATTTACTTTATGAAAAAGCTTTTCACGTATATTTATAGATTCCAAGAAACGGTATGACTTTTATTTTAACCATTTTCTAATATCTTCCATCGTTTACAATTTACAAGCACTGTTGTATTCCATCAAAATTGTGTCTGTTATATAACATTTATTAAACTAAATATTATTTTACAACAAAGTAACAGATTGAACAGAATTTCGTAGATCTCGGTGTATCGTTCGTGTTCTCGATGTGGCTACATGCTCATCCGAAGATGGCTCGATAAAATCTGTTTGTGTCGAGAAATGAATCTACTGGGAAAATTTGAGAAAAAAACAAGAAAAAGAAAAGGATATTGTGGGATAGACGGTTAAGCTATGTCGTCGATGATCGATTGGATTCGGATGTTTGAGGACATAAAGGTTTAAACACCACCAGTTTAAGGGATTTTGGATTTCTTTAGCCATTACTGTAGGAAATTGTACTATGACTAATGTTGATGGCTGATGTTTAGGATTACTTTGGGCGTGGATATTCAATGTGTTGGCATACAATAGCACTTACATAGAAGGGTCCGCTCGGATCAAAGGATTAACGTCTCGTTTAACTCCTTGCCATACAATGACAAGTGAGACTCGTGATGAAGATTCCTAGATTAATTTAACAAAACTCAATATTGTTCATTCCCCACGGATCAAAGCAAACAACTATTTTGCTATTATCAATTTATTGTCTTCAAATGAAATTTCCACTGGAAGTAGAACAGAACATTTTGTTACATTTCTTCCAAATGATCGATAGTAAAGTGTTACACGAGCTCAGTAGCGAAAGTAAATAATACTCCAAGGGGTTGAAATAAGAAACAAATATTGTCCAACAAATATTCATCAGACACGCACCGTCAATAAAATATTTGGCCGCACCCCTTCAAGTCCTTTCAAACAGAAGTGGTAACGCCAAGACCTGCGTTTATAGCTTACTCTTTTATGGCCCTTTCCCTGTTGCTTGCATTCATCCTTAAATTCCTTTCCTTAAGACTAAGCTTTAAACCTAACATATACTAGCTAAATTATGGATACTCAGTACAATAGTAATACATAAATGTTGTATGCAAAATATTGAGTTGCAATGCGTAATCCTAAGCATCAGCATTAATCATAGAACAAAATATCAAATGAATGTCGGCAATTTCGTAACATACAGTGGGTCACAAAATTATTCGCTCAGTCGATAGTGTGGTAAAGATAAATGAAGTAACCATACAACGAAGAACTTTTTCAGATTTCTTTTAATGGATATACATTATTTACAGTTCAGTGTAACAAAATGGTATAAAAAAGTATA